ACTAACCCCGAACCCGACAGCCCCTCCCACCCGATGGTTACCCGATCCAAGGCCGGCATCTTTTGCCCTAAACAAATCCTAAACCTCAACACCGTTGTACCCATCTCCCCCATACCCCCTACCTACCGTAGTGCTCTCAAAGATCCTAACTGGTACAATGCTATGCTAGATGAATATAATGCCTTGATAGCTAATCATACATGGGATCTAGTACCCCCCTCCCCTAACCAAAATGTGAACTCCGGAAAATGGCTCTTCCGCCACAAACTTGGCCCAACAGGTGAACTGTCCAGGTACAAAGCCCGATGGGTTGTTCGTGGGTTCAACCAACACCATGGCATCGACTATGATGAGACCTTCAGCCCGGTTGTCAAACCGGCCACTATACGCATTGTTCTGAGCCTAGCCGTGTCCAAAGGATGGCCGATCCACCAATTCGACGTCAAAAATGCTTTCTTGCAGGGCTACCTCTCAGATACTGTTTACACCACTCAGCCTTCGGGATTTCAGGACCATGCTCGCCCACATTATGTCTGCAAATTAAATAAGGCACTCTATGGACTCAAGCAAGCCCCCCGTTCTTGGTACCAGCGATTCACGAGATTTGTTCTCTCTCTTGGCTTCAGTGGGTGCAAGAGTGATGCCTCCTTGTTTGTATACAGTCGTGGTCAGGACATGGCCCTACTTCTGCTCTATGTTGATGATATTGTCCTCACTGCATCATCCACTGCCTTACTACACCAGCTCACAGAACAACTAAAAGGGGAGTTTGCTATGACAGATATGGGTGACCTTCACTTCTTTCTTGGGATCAATGTCCAGCGGACCTCTCACGGCCTATTCCTCACTCAGACTCAGTTTATCTATGACATCCTCGAGCGGGCAGGGATGACCTCGTGCAAACCCATGTCTACACCCGTGGACACCCGCGGGAAGCTCTCGGCCACCGTTGGTCCTCGAGCGCCAGATCCCTCTCTCTATCGCTCTATTGTGGGAGCACTGCAGTACCTCACCTTCACACGCCCGGATATTACCTATGCCGTACAGCAGTTATGTCTCTTCCTTCATGATCCTCGAGTGCCGCATGTCACAGCCATGAAGCGCGTCCTGCGCTATCTTCACGGTACACCTACCCATGGCATCACCATCTCACCATCTCAGATAGATCATATGCGGGCATACTCTGATGCTGACTGGGCTGGCTGCCCAGATACTCGTCGATCGACATCCGGTTATTGCATTTTTCTAGGCGACAATCTCATCTCCTGGTCATCTAAGCGACAACTCACCACCTCTCGATCCAGTGCTGAAGCAGAATATCGAGCTGTCGCTAATGCTGTCGCTGAAGTCTGTTGGGTGCGCAATCTTCTTCTAGAACTCCGGAAACCTCTGATGCGATCTACACTGGTCTTCTGTGATAACATCAGTGCTGTCTACCTTTCGGCCAACCCAGTTAAACATCAGCGCACAAAGCATATTGAGGTAGATATTCATTTCGTGCGAGACAGAGTAGCCCTTGGTCAGATACGAGTCCTTCATGTGCCTTCTTCATTACAGTATGCTGACATCTTCACCAAGGGACTACCCTCCATGGTTTTCTCCGAGTTTCGAGACTGTCTGGGCGTGCGGCGATCTTCTTTGGTGCCGTTGGGAGCATGTTAAATATATTCTTACTATATTTAATATTAATATATTGGTAGCTTCCATAATTTTATAGGATGTAATTAATATTGTTTCCTATTCTCATTAGGAAACTCTTGTATATATATACATGTAATCTCCCATAATAATTTATGTGAAAATATTCATTCTTCATATATTCATCCCATTAACTTAATTTTCATGATATATACTCCATCCGTCTCTAAAAACTTTTCTCCTTTTTTTCATCCGTCCCAAAAATCATTTCTTATTTCTATTAAAAAGTCACATTACCCTTATTAGTAGTTCTTAATTAACCTGGCTATCACATCACACTTATTCACTATTAATTTATCCATCAAATCCCACTTTTGAAACTCAACACATAACTACACTTTTCTTAAACCCTTGAAAATCAAAATCTCCCATATTTTGAAGGACGGAGGGAGTCCATGTTAGAGTTAATTGTTTTTATTAAAAAAAATTCTCTTCCCACAAAAAAATCCATATTCAAAAGTCAAATTATAGCTTATTTTCTAACTACACACACACGTACATACATACATACATATATATATATATACATATATATATATATACATATATATATATATCTACATATATATATATATATATATATATATATATATATATATATATATATATATATAATGTATGTATGTATCTAGGGATTGAATCCAGTCAAATGACACCTTACGGTGAGATGACATGGTACTGTAAGATGACGCAAAGCTCACTAGTGGCCATTGCAAAGCTCACCAAGGACAACTTCAAAGCTCACCAAATTGTAAGGTAAAGTTACCATTTTTTTAAAAAAAATAAAATCAAAAGAAGGGGTGTTGACTAGATTTTGACTTTTGACCGCCACCATTGACCGTCGCCTGCCGCTGCTGCTGCTCCACCACCGCGCCGCCACTGGCCGCCGCTGCCTGCCGCCGGTTGCCTGACGCCGCTACTGACCGGTGTTGCTATTTTATTTCTAATTAATTTTTTAATTTTCAAAAATTTAAAAAGGTGAGTTTTGGTGTTCAAAGTGGTAAGCTTTGCTTTATTTTCAGGTGAGCTTTGCATTGGTCATTGGTGAGCTTTGTAGTGTAATGTGGTAAGCTTGACGTCATCTCACCGAAGTATGTCATCTCACCGTAAGGTGTCATCTCACTAGAGTCAATCCCATATATATATATATATATATATATATATATATATATATATATATATATATATATATATATATATATATATAGTTTGGTTCAAATAAGAATGAAATCTAACGAAAGAAATAAGAACAAATTATGGCCGTTTGATCTTGATCCCAAATCATTCTTTCGCCTATTTTATGTATGGGCACCATTGTCTTTTTGCCCAGAATCT